TTGTAACTTAAAAGTAATCCTATTTTGATAATTTCCAACCATCTCTAGAATCTTCTACTTCTGAACTCTAAAAAAACATTTGCATTAACAAAGTTCGACCGTATTGCTTGGCTTGAATTATGAGCAACTGTCGAATAAACTTCAAGACAAGCTTGACGAACGAGCGTTGAATGAACTGTAAAGCGCCATAAAGTTCCGGATCGGATTTGAAGTCCCAGCCTGAGTCTCAAGAACCAAGCACGTGCTAATTGCTGACGCATAGAATGAGCCCCCAAAAGGGAAGAGAGAGAACCGAGGGGCGGAAGAAAGGGGCTGGGAGAAAGGCGGGTGAGGGAGTTCTGAAAGCCCAACAAACGATCGTCGTTATGACAGGAGATTAGGTGTTGTCTGTTTATGTGACGGTGTGTGATGTTTTTAAATATGTGTGGGCGGAACATTAAAGGGGAGAGAAAGAACGATAAAATAGGAGAAGTGGTGATGGGAGATTGCTCGGGAAGTTTCAAATGGTTTCAGGGAAGTTCTGGAATATTTTGTTTATGTTTGGAAGTTTTTATTGATAGGGGATACGTATTTTAGTAGAGATCAATGTGCAAGACAAAGACTTAAGCAAAGTAAAAAGAAGGAAGATCTCTGGGATTACATTGGCTTTAAAATGATATACATATTTCCCATGAAAGAACACTAAAAAGATTAAAATTCCAATAAATCCAAAAATATCTTGAGCCAATTTCGACACCCATCCAGCCACGATTTCGTTCCATTTTCCCCAATTTTCTCCTGGCATCCATTTAGCTGCCAACCAATTTTTGGACCTGCTCAACAGCTCTTCTGGGGCGATCGATCGATCGAATTGATGTCAAGTTCCGACGGTAGCACCCTCCCCAAAAAAAATTGTATACCCCAAGCAAAACAAAGAATAAAGAATAAAAAAGTGCCGAAACAGAACAGAAATCTTGGTCAAGCAGTTTGCGAGGCAACGATCGTGCCAACAGGTAGGCGGTTTCAGCAAAAAAACACTGGCAGCCAAATAAACAAGAAAACCCCCCGCGGCATAGGATCATTCATGAAAAGCACCCAAGCCAACCGAAAAACAAAATTAAAAACAAAATTAACAACAAATTACAGAAGGAAAAAATGTGCCAAAGCAGAGTCAAAAAAGAAATTATTTAACAAACAAACAAAGAATGAATTATAAAATGACGTTGCGGATCATAAAAATGGGGGTACGAGAGAGGGGGCCAGAGAAAGAGAGGTCGCTACTGGGGGAGAGAGAGCAGGCTGGGGCTATGTGTGCTTTTGTGTGTGGAAGTGCTCTCACTTTCTTTTGAAACTTGTTATTCGCTTTGCGAGCAGAGTTCATTCACATTTGGCCACGCCAGGGCGGGAGAAAGAGAGGCAAAGGGAGTTGAAATGGCAGGGAGCAAGAGAGAGAGAGGGAGAGAGAGAGAGAAATGGCACAGCTGTTCCCGAAAGTTCCCGAAAGCCGAGTTCGAAAATGAGTGCAAATCTCTTGACACGACTCCCCCAACGCAGTGCAATGACCCCAGATTCTGCAGCTTAGATTGCAGGCTCGTTTGAGAATTTGCAAAAAATGTGTGCAAATTTTTAATTGCCAAAGATTTCCTTGAACGCATTTCGACAGTTCTATATGTATGCATGCATACTCCGCCCCCTCACCACCCCCCTCCCCCCTTTGAAGCCAAGCCCACCTGAGGTTTCTGTGTCGTTGACCGACCGCCAGAGCTCAAAAATCGCAAATATACATATGTATATATATTCTTGAATATATATATCTGCCTGAACTGCAAGCGAATTTGCATGCAAAATGCATTGAGAGCAGAGCTCTCTCACTCTCTTCGGCTCGTTTCGAGTTCGCTCGGCTTCGTCTTCGGCTTTGGCGCTCGGCTGGCTCGGCTGGCTCGCCCCCTCTCTCTCTCTCTAAACGCATATAGCCTCTCTCTCGCAGCTCCACATTCGAAGGTGGCTGACCGAAATGTGGGTCACGACAATGGCGGGGTTCGTTGAACTGAACCACCGCCGCAGTCGCTGCCTCGGTCGCTGTCGCTGCCTCTGCCGCTGCTTCTGCCCTCTGCTTACGTCGCTAACGTTTTGGGGCTTTTTGGTTACGTAGCTTGTGTGCGAGCGAGAGGTGGCGAGGCAAAGGTGCGAGCGAGAGGCACTGGCCCACAACTTGTGTGCATTATTTGGCCCCAAAAAATCACAATGCGAACAAAATATTATTTAACACTTTTATTAAATCATCTGGTTTTTGGAAAGTGGAGTTCATCGAACCGCCAGCAGTTGACAAAAATATTTGCCCAAGCTGATTGTTTGCATTTTGTTAATTAGGCGGGGATTGTCCTGCAATTAGGTCAAATTGGCTGGGTATAAAAGAAGTCAAAAAGAAACAGCTGAATTTGCTTAGTACAAACTAATTAGGATACCTTTTCTTAAAATCAAATAACAACCTGTCATTGTCCGTAGGAACACGTAAAGATTAGTTCCCCTTTTCAACTTATCACTTTATTTATTTTCCATTTCATAACTTTATTGTACAACTTAATCTTAATCATTCTTAAGTATTCTGGAAATACACCCCCATCCCAAGGGGCTTTGGCTGACCCCAAAAGGCGTTCGGGAACATCGTTCCAGATCTCAGATCCTCTTAGGCCTGTCATACTCACATTGATGGCTCAGCCAGCCCCCGTATCAATTAATCTTATTTGTCACTCATTTATCAAAACATGAGCAAACACAATACACACGTTAGGGGAATCTATGGGGAACAATCGAACAGAGCAGCACAGAACAGAACAGCGCAGCCCGCCTCTGTTTTGTTATCAAACAAAGCTGATCAGTCAGGTGGCAGTGGCAGCAACTACCTGAGATACCTGAGCTACCTGAGAAATCAGAGTGTCGCGTGGGTGTTGGATGAATTGTTTACCAGGCGCCCCCACTGCAGCAGCAACACCAACAGCAGCAACAGCAACAGCAACAGCAGCAACAGCAGCAATACCCAGCAGCAACATCTATTGTTAGACGCTGGCGTCGCTGTCGCCGCTTGGAGTGAATGTCCTCAGTTGGCACACAAAAACAAAAACACAAAACGACAGCAGCAACATCAGTGTGAGCGGGACGGGGCGAGAGCGAGAGAGCCGCACGAAGCAAAACGAGCCACAAAAAGCCACTTCGGCTGGCAGTTTTCGTGTTGCTCGGGGTCGTTTTGTGTTGCTGGTGGACGCTGCTTTCATTCGCAAATTGCTCGTCGTTGGCAGCGGTTGTGCAGAGCAAGAAAAGCGCGCGAAAAATCAAAAGAAAATATACAGCTGGATCAAGCGAAAGAGATAGAGAGCAGAGCCAACAGCAACAAATGTTCAATAGCAAATAATATCACACAAAATATTTTTGTTGGTGCCAGTGAAGTGAGATCAAAGTGAAGTGTGCAATGTTCCTTATTAGCCAATCGTAGAGCAACCAACAATCGAGAGTTCAAGTGTCATTCTGAAGCCAAAAAGCATAAAAATCTCTAATTCAAATATGGTTTGTGCAATGCAAGAGGTTGCTGCCGTGCAGCAGCAGCAACAGCAACAGCAACTCCAGTTGCCCCAGCAGCAACATCAACAACAGCAGCAGCAGCAGCACCAGACACAGCAGCAACATGGCACAACGATAGTGCTGCTGACTGGCAACGGCGGCGGTAATCTGCACATTATCGCAGCACCGCAGCAACATCAGCCGCTGCAGCAGCAGCAACACCAGCAGCATCACCACCATCAGCAGGCCAAGAGCCAACAGCTGAAGCAGCAACATTCGGCACTGGTCAAGTTGCTGGAATCAGCGCCCATCCAGAAGCAACAGCAGACGCCCAAACAAATTGTTTATCTGCAACAGCAGCAGCAGCAGCAGCAACATCAGCAGCAGCAACAACAGCAACCGCAACGCAAGAGACTGAAAAACGAAGCAGCAATCGTACAACAGCAACAACAAACACCTGCAACACTAGTAAAGACAACCACCAACAGCAACAGCAACAACACCCAGACAACAAATAGTATTAGTCAGCAGCAGCAGCAGCAGATTGTGTTGCTGCAGCAACACCAGCCTGCGACAGTAGCAACACCAAAGCCGCCATGTGCCGATCTGAGCGCCAAAAATGACAGCGAATCGGGCATCGAGTCGAACAGCGATGAGGATTGCCCGAGTGCCAACCCCGCAGCAACATCGCTCGAGGACAGCAGCTACGAGCAATATCAGTGTCCCTGGAAGAAGATACGCTATGCGCGGGAGCTCAAGCAGCGGGAACTGGAGCAGCAGCAGACCACCACCACCAGTGGCAGCAATGCGCAGCAGCTCGATGCCAAGCCAGCTGCAATACCCACCAGCAACATCAAGCAGCTGCACTGTGATAGTCCCTTTTCGGCGCAGACCCACAAGGAAATCGCCAATCTCCTGCGACAACAATCCCAGCAACAGCAACACCAGGTGCAACAGCAGCACCAGCAGCAGCAACACCAGCAGCAGCAACACCAGCAGCAACAGCAACAGCAGCAGCAGCAACGTAGGGATAGCTCCGACAGCAACTGCTCGCTGATGAGCAACTCGAGCAACTCCAGTGCGGGCAATTGTTGCACCTGCAACGGCGGCGATGAGCAGCAACTGGAGGAGATGGACGAGGCCCAGGATTCGGGCTGCGATGATGAGCTGTGCGAGCAGCATCACCAGCGATTGGACTCCTCGCAGCTAAACTACCTGTGCCAGAAGTTCGATGAGAAACTTGACACGGCGCTGAGCAACAGCAATGCCAACACGGGGAGGAGCACGCCAGCAATGTCAGCCAACGAAGATGCCGATGTAGGTTTTCAGGATCAGGGGGATATGTATTCTTAAGCTATAATATCTAGAGATTTTCTAGACTATCTTTTTAACTTTAACAACATATTTATGATATCTAATAACTTAAATTCATTGCTAATATCTGTTATTTTCCTTTATCTTTACAGGGCTTCTTCCGTCGCTCCATCCAGCAAAAGATCCAGTATCGCCCCTGCACCAAAAATCAGCAGTGCAGCATTCTGCGCATCAATCGCAATCGTTGTCAATATTGCCGCCTGAAAAAGTGCATAGCCGTGGGCATGAGTCGTGATGGTGAGTACCTTTTGTCTTTTGTCCTGCATTATGATAGTATATTATGAAAGTATATCGAATAAGGGAGGGAAATTGAGCTAATAGAACGGGCCAAATTAATTCAAGCTCAAACTAATGCCAGCAGCAACATTAAGACGAGCATTCGGCCGAGTGCCACACGAAGTTCCCTCGGCTTTTCTGAGTTCATTGACCAGCCGTGAACGAAATTTCAGCTCTGCGAGTATGTGTGTGTCCGTCTGTATTGCAACATTTCGCTTGGCGCGATTTCACGGCAAAGTAAAAGTTGTCTATTTTGTTTAAACAAATTCCCCGAGCAACGCACACCCGCATGATAAATTGAGAGCAGGCTGTCGGCGAGAAGTGTGCGCCATTTCGAAATGGTGTTAAAAGTTGAATGAACGCACTTAACCCAAATCCATAATGGAGACAGCAGAGCGAGGCCATCAGTCTTGCTGTCTCTCTCTCTGGGAGCTCTCTTTGTCTCTCCCCCTCTCTTTCTCTCTCTCTCTTTGTTACGTTACGCTGAGCTGACTGCATTTGTTATTATTGAGTTTTGTAATAATTTGTTTAAATTAAGCTCATAGCCCGGAAAATATTTACAGGAAATAGCCAGCGATTATGAAAGCACAACACACACACACACACACACAGACAACTCACAACCAACACAAGCACACACTCTCAAACTCTCTCGCACTCTCTTTTCCACGTTCATTGACTTCTCGCTGGGCGGCCATGTTTGCTGTTTGCAGTGAAAACGAAAACGAAAGTGGTTCATGCGTGTGTGTGTGTGTTTGTGAGGTGGAGAGATAGAGCGGGATGGGTAGACTGGGGCTGAGCGGGACGGGGAGAGGCTGTTTTGTAGGCAACACGCAGACGCGGCCTTTGTGTAAAATATGTAGTATTTGTTGGTGCCTTCGATGTTGTAATTGATGGATTAGATTTTGATATTTATTTCGAATGTGGAGCGCGAGTGTGAGGCAATGGAAAGAAAAAAAAGAGAGCAGTGGAAAATATGAAGAGTGATATTAGGATAATTACCATTTCTGATATAATGCTGATGATTTTTAAATCTAGAAATGCAAATGCAGGATATTGATTCTTTCTCTACAAAGAAATATATTTTTTTTATCACTTTATTTACCCCCAAAAACACCCCCATTGGTTTTGACAACTAGTTTTATGCCTTTGTTTACCACCACCAAACATTAACGAGGCCTCTCCGCTGTCACCATTAAAATCCTACCATTAATTAGCCACTAACCTAGAGCACAATAATTTTTTAGCAAATCCTTGAACTAGTTCTGTGCCTAGAGCAACCCAAAGCTAGTGCCAAAAATAAGTCATGTGAACCGAACAAAAATTCGACCGCCAACCAAATAAACAGCAAACTCGAACTCGGCAACAGCAATGAAATGAAATTGAAAAAAAAAGAAAAAAACAAAGAGAAAAAAGCAAACCAACAAATTTCGAATTGTTTATAATAAAAATGACCGTGTGCTATTTAAGCGACGGCGACTGCGCTGCCGGTTGCCTTATCTTTCAAGGAAAATTAAAATAAAAACGCACACGCCGAATAAAAAAAAAACCAACGAGGGCCGCTGATGAACAATTTACAGTTATAAAACAAGAGCGACTGACCTAGAAAACTCGTCGAAATCATAATATAATTTTTGTTTATAAACAGTATTACAACGAAGAGACACACTACTTTCACTTTTTGATAAACCCCCCAAAAAAAAACATCTATATAATTGCCGTTGGCCATTTCGAAACACTTTCTTTTTCATTTCGTTTCGTTACATTTCGGCTGCTTTCATAATTTCTTCAGCCCAGTAATAGGCGCCATTTTGTTGGTGTTTGGTGTTTTTTTTTTGTGGCTGGCTTTTCCTTTTGGTATTGCAAAGACACGAAAATAACGCAAGAAATGAAAACGAAACCGAAATTTAGCGCACACAAGCGCCCCCCTCGAAAAAGTCAAATAAAATACGTCCCAACTCGGCTCAGTTCATTGACCGCCGCTGACGTGCAGGAAAACTGGGTCACCACCGACGGCGCGGCGGCCGAGCGGCGGCAGAGCTGCGGCAGCGCGGCAGTGAAGGTGCCTGCGCCTGTGTGCGCCATTCGTATCTGTGTGAGCGCCGATAGTAAACAACGAACAACGAACAATGTGCACAACACTCTCGTCGTCGCTTAATTTCGCTGCTCATTTTGCATTTGATTTTGCGGATTTGCTTGGAGATTTATTAGTTCACCGTGGGCTGGCCAAAAAACAAAACAAAAAAAAAAAAAGATGGAAAACTTAAAACAATATATCGTTGGATTTTTTCTCGCCATATTCTAATTTTCTATATATTTATTTGTGGTCGCTGTGCTTTTCTCTATTGGCTGGCGAATGCACATGCACACATGCTGGCTTTTAATTGAAATGAACTTAAATTAGCGCGAGGTTAGGCAAATTGAAAGTAAATATGCAGCACGAACGAGAATCGAGATAAAGCCCGCGAAAAAGGAAGAACAAGAATGTTGCAGATTAGTTAAGTTGGGGGTTTTTAAGAAAAGGTTATCAAAATATTTGTAGGATTTATTTTTCAACATTCTCTGCAATATCATATTTGTCCAAAACTGTTTTATCTCCAAGATACTTTTGTATCTTTCCATCAAAATCTTGGCTTAGCAAACGATTGTGAAAACAAGTTAAGAAAAGGTTTCCAATATATTTCTATAACTTATTTTTCCTCACTTCCAAATGTATCTAAAACCGTTTTATCTCCAAGATACTTTTGTATCTTTCGATCAAAATCATGGCTTAGCACACAAGTGTGAGGCAAATAGATAACTGCACCTACCAGCAACATGCACAGCAGCAATTAGTTGCTGGTGTGTCCCAAAAGCACATAAAATAATCAAACAATTGTCAATTATCGAAGGCACGGCATTTTTTCTAATATACACACACATAAATATATATATATATAAACGGGCAACTACGACATGCTCGTTGTTGTTGTCGCAATCATTATTATTTTGAGGCTACACACACACAGCAGCAACACCAACAGCAACAACAACAGCATGCATGTAGATTTCGCCTTGCCTCGCCGCTGCGAGTGTTTTGAACTTTATTCAGGTCAATTACAAATACATTAAAATGCCAGTGCTACACACAGATACTCATGGCAAGCTGTTGACTAAAATAATATTGGAGGCTACACAAAATTTACAATAACAACGAGAACAAGGCGGACAAGGAGACCAGAGACTAGATACTATAGACTAGAGACTACCGACCAGGGGCTCGGGGTTCGGGGGGTATTCGGGGTTGGGCCTTTGGTAGGAGTTGAACACTTGGAACAGTTCAAGGAGCCTTCGACTCGGCTCATGAGAGTGGGCGCGTGAGTGGGCGGCGCTAGAACAGCTCACAGCTTCAAGTACAAAATGCTAATGATGACGATGTGGGTGAGGTTCTACAGTCGGTCGGTGGGTTCAGCAACTGAGGCTGTTCTGTAGAGCTGGTGAAGGTTTTTGTGAGGCAATCGAGAAGATTGAACTGGTCAGTACAGCAATGAGAGCTAAAAATAACTAATAATATACGCCTGGTTTTGGTATACTTTCAGTATTTTTGGTATTTTTATTATATCATTACATTTAGTCATAGATAAACTTACTTTCCAAGTCATTACTTTCTGGATTTTTCCTGGTATTCCCCTCTTTTAAGCCCAGTTACTCCACTCCCTTAACGCTTATACAATTACTTACTGTCCATAAGTGAAATCATTTCACGCGTGTCATCCATCACCAAAAAAAAGCAGAAAAAAGACAGCAAAAAGAGAGCAGCAAAAAAAATACTTCAACAACGGCAGCTGCTTGACAACTTGAGTTGAAGCTTCTTTTATTTTTTTCGTATTTTCTTTCTTTTTCTCGCTTTGGTTACATAAAGTCAGTTTGCCTGGCTGCCTTCACCTGCCTCACAAAAAACTGTTAACGGTGAAATTGCAAAGAAAAGAGCGCCAAAAGCAGCGAAAAAGAAAGAAAAGCAGGCAAGAGCCAAAGCGAACGTAACAAACTTGTTTTACACGAGACGCTGGCGTCGCCTACTACGCAAGTTGAACCTTCAAAAGGTTCATTTACCTCAAAGCCACGAAGAGCAAACGCGTTCGCGTTCGCATTCGCGTTCGCGTTCGTCTGGCAGCTCGAACGAGCCGAGTTTTGGACGCTTTTTTTCCCAGAGAGGGGAGGGGGGCGAAATAAAAAATGTACTTTCGCTTTTTTCAATGCCTCGGCGCCAAAAAACTAGTTTTCCAGCTCTCAAAATTGCTCGCCGAGAGAGCAGCATTGCAGCAATATTGCAGTTGCTGTTGGCCGATGTTGCTGCTGCTGCTGTTGCAGTTGCTGCTGCTGTTGCTGCTGCTGCTGCTGCTGTTGCTGCTGCTGCTTTTGGGCCACAGTTAAACGACCGAGCCGCAGAGTTCAACGACTCTTGTAAAATTTCTCGAAGGTTTCGCATTGCAACATCATCCAACGAGCAGTCCCAACTTGTTCGAAGCTGCATTTGCATGCCGTCTCTCTCTGCCTCTCTTGCCCCGTCTCTCTCTCGCCTGCATATACCCCTCTCTTTCGTGTGCTGAATGCTGTTCATTGCACTCGGCCTCGTTTCGTTCGGCTGCAATTTTTGCACGACGTCAGAGGCTGAGAGCAAAATGCGAATGTTTCGCGAAGGGGGGGTTTTGCCAAGGGGGCAGGGGCAGCCGCAAGGGGTTATAGAGGGGGGTGCCTGCAGTTTGTCGCCGAGTGCAGCGACTCTTATTTGGGTCAGGCACGGTCATTCGCCTCTGCGGCAGCAACGACGGCGACGGCATTGGCGCGCATTTATTCGAAAATGATTAGACACGAAATGGAATTATTTTTGCGTACGCCTTTGAAGTCCGTTCGCTTGCAATGCGCGTAGATGCAGATCAGCTTGACCCAAATTTCCATCTTTTTTTTTGCAGGGGGAGAAT